GACATTTCTGTTGAATGTCACACCTCACTTTTGGCCTAGGATATGCTTATTTTCCTGATGTATAGTATTACAGCTTTGTCTTCTGGCGTGGTCTGTCACTGAGGTTCCAAATGCCATTTGCAAAATTCCCATTTCAGAGGAACTCACATATCTTATGGTTGCAAAATTCTGGACTTTGTGCAGAGAATCTATTCTCTGCATGCTTCTTCACACGGTCAAAGGCAATGTGATCACCACACTTAAGGGAGAAAAAGAATTACTCCCATTTCAAACGGATGGGCAGTATCATAGGGGAAGAGGAGAGAGATGGGGATTCACGGCATTATCGTCTTTCATAGCCTCTGCAGTCTGCTGGTGCCGCTCTCTCCCCTGCCTTCTGTACATTACTGTCTCTTGAGAACTAAAATATTTCAGTTTAATAGGGACACGGAGCTCTATATGGAAGTATTTGGGGAAAATGTAAGCTGTGATGGTAATGGCTTCTTGGCCATAAGCTTTATATGTCCTTCCCTAACTCTTCTAAGTAGGTTCTTTGTAATATCTTCCCTTTCTCCTGCTGGCTTTAGATATATTTTATTCTTCAGCTTCGCTTAACGTGCAATTTGCCCCTCGCCCCCATCCACTTTACTTTTTACTAATGTGTCCCATCTGAAATCTAGGGATTTGGAGTGCTGTGTTATTCCTACGTGTGATGCAGTCATTTATTTGAAATCTCCCTTGGCTCCATAAGGTTTGAATACGCAAGAAACAATTACGAGAAAGTGTCTGTGATCTCTTTGACTAGCATATACATGTATTAATACTATTTAATATTAAAATGTGGACAAAAGGATTGAATAAATGCTCATACTCTGCTTGCTTTTTAATACTTAAGCGCAAATATGCTCAAGTAGAAAGAAAAAACTTCTCACCAGGAATGAGAAATGTGTTTCTGCATGTGTGTTTTCACACAAAGGATGTTGTGGGTGATTCCGTAAAGTGCAATGCACGATGCAGTTTGTCTTTGGTGACCTTAAAAAACATAATCTAGAGAAAGTACATTGCCAACGAAAGATGTGAAAACGCATGATAAAATAACCTTAGTTAAATTTAGCAGATACCATTTAGGGATGTACTGTTTGCAAGCGTTTTAGCAGCTGCAGATGAGCTTTACCTGTGATTCTTTTCATACCATTTAATCAGAAGGATTTAAATCATTCCATTCATACATTTTTGTTGATATTTTTCGTCTAGAGCCTAGGCAGATACAGTTATTTTGGGGAAAATCTGAATGGAAAATAACTAATTCCATTCTCGTATTTACTTTACAAGGAGGCTGTAATTAACACTATTTAATAGAGCCCTTCACCATGGTCTGCACTTAAACGTGCGCCCGAGCCTACTCACACAGTGCAGCTCTTCAGCACAGAAGTGATTTCTGATGCTGGGATGGAGCTTAGGCTGCCCTTTCCGTCCTTTGCTGCGGGGTCCCACACGCAGACCAGAGCTTTCGCTTCACTACGAGCGATATCTTGTCCTAGTTTGATTTTCTTTTTCTTTTTTTTTAAAGGCATATCTAATAAACATTTGCTTGTCATATAATCAAATGAGCATTTCTGAAACAGTCGGCTGCATCGAAGCGTTTCTCAAGATTTCCCTGATTACTCACAGCTTTTTCAATACATCCATAAATATGAATGTGATCATTCACACTGCTGCATATGGCAATATCGAACGACCCCAGTTGGACTTTCCTGAACTTCTGTATGTGACACAACAGTGTTGCTTTAATAGGTTTTTTTGTGGGGGTGGTTGGTTTTTTTTTTACCTTAGAGGTGTGATGCTAATCAGCAGCATGTGTGCATGTCAGGTATTGTGGGCACAATTATGACATCTGCCCATTTAGGACGGCTGGCAGGTGCTTTAGCAAAGATTATAGGATGCCACAACATGATCAGCTTCTATTGTAACGTTATATTGTATACGTTATAACTGTCAAATGTATATTCCACAAGACTTCAATTTCACAAGACTTAATTACAGAGGTTTAAACTTCGGTGTGATATTAGCAGAGCAGTTATTGCTATTACTTGGTGTCTTACGGATTTCAGAAATCATTTGTTAATGAAACTAGGAGACTTAGTTTTTGTCTTTGCTGAAAAAGTTAACATAATTTGAAGAACAAGCTACGTATGGCCATAGTAGTTGTCTTAGTGTAAGATTATGTTGTTACATTAAAAGATTATATTTATTCTTTGATATATGAGCCACCTCTGTAATAAATTTTGAAAGTAACAAAAAAAAATTTCTCCTGTGGCATGTTCATCGAAGTGTACAGGTAAGTGAAAATGTTACTTCAGACTCATCCAGGTCAGTCAGCGAGCTGATTACTGTGTGCTCCAGTTTCACAGTGGGGGAGACACGCAGCAGTATACGTATGATATAGTCAGGGTAAAAATAATAGTTTGATATGATAGCAAATACATTTTTAAGAGAAGAAATCCATCCCCATCATTATCTGCAGATTACACAGCATAGCTGTGGCAGCGTGCAATTCAGTCAGGTACCGGGGATGCTGCGTTCTACAAGGGAGAAGTTGTAAATATAAGTGACTCTCTGATATATTCTGTTCCAACCCATTGCTCTTACAAAGTCAGGAGAAGACAGACATGGAAACACATCTAACTTAGAGCCTTGTACTGGGGTGATACTCTACCAGTTACAGGAGTCTCCCATCAGATTGTTTTTGAGGCCACCAACTTTATCGGCATCTGCTGTATTTGCAACAGATAAAATGTAACTCGTGCAAACAACATTAAACGGAAGGTGAAAATATCCACAGCAATTTTTGCAAGATACAAAAAATATTTTCTGATGTTTGATTTGGACCATAAGACAGTTGGTGGGATTGGAATAGAGACCCCCCCAAATCTACCCTAGCAGCTAACAGTAGCAAAATTTCTCTCCTTCAATTCTGGCGTGAACAATTCATTACCTAGACCGCAATTAACTACCTGGACCATCTGGCAGGGGAATAAATGGCGCAGACGCTGTTTCTCAGCTGTGAGGTGAAGATAGTCTAAGGTTTCTGTTCCGTTACGTGAGGAATGGAGTGGTAAGGAAAGGAAGGCAGCAGAGCTTCTGGCTCAGATGTGCCCCAGAGGCCGTCAGAGAGGACGGGAAGGGGCTGCTCCCGCTGCCGCGAGGGTACTTGCAGCATTGCTCTGCCTGCCTTTGGCTGACGGGTGTTCATACGTGCCGATGAGCACTCGGTACAGCTCTTCCAGGAGTTATCACTCTCTGACTCTTTATCCTCACAAGTAGCATCAAAGTTTTCAGTTGTGGAATTAGGCTACGTGATGAACGCTTCTATGACTTGCAGACCAACAGTTTAGCAGAGAGAGGTTTAACTCTGTAATAGGGTAATAGTAAGTGAGGCAGGTACAAATTTATGTCAAAAAGTTAACAGAAAATGCTAACGCAACCATGTAGGTTGTAAGCTTCGAAATGAGGTCTACCAACTCTTCTCAAGACTGCAAAGAAGAGTTTCTCTTTGATGTGAGGCAACTTCTGATACTTCATAATCAGAGGCAAAAAATGCATGCAGCAGCGTCTGAGTATATGGAGACTTTTTCAGTTTTTCTGACTAGTGGACAATTTTAATTGAATATTTTGCATTTAAGAAAAAAATTAGAACATTTTTCCTTGACTGATAACTTGTGACCACTACCATAGGATCTGAATTCAGGTTTTTCCCAGTCAGTCATTTTATAGATAGACGAGTACCAGTAAGAAGCTGATCTCCAAGGCAGCACTCAGTATCCTTCACGGAGAAAGGCCAAAAGGGAGGTTTTTAAATAATACCTTTTTTTTTTTTTTAATCATCTTCTTACTGTAGATTTTTACTACTTTTGGGGGTCTGATGGCAATTCTTATAATTTACATACTTGCTCACAAATGTGCTTTCTAATCCCTGAATCAAGGCTGGTGAGATGTACTTCTCACTGAAGCATTAATTTATTAACCCAAAAGCATTTTAAAAGGCAACTTTTAGAGGAAGCCTGAGTAGAAACATTGTGAAGGAGCAGATAACTTCTCTTCTTGACATCATCACGTAATTCAAGCTGCAGTTGTCAATCCTAATGAAGGTGGTGATGCTGATTTGAGCATATTGTTTATACGATATGCAAGAGCTTTGGGACATACGGAGTCCTTGTTGCTATCATTTATAATTAAAGTGTCCATCACTTCTCCCTGAAAAATTGCTTAGCAAATAAATAATTAAAGGTCTGATTCTGATACACTTAGTTGAAATGAGAGACAGAGAGACTTCTGAGAACAGTCCAAATGCAGCAAATGGAATTTCTTCAAAGTAAGGATTCAAGAAAAATAATAGTATTAGATTCTCAGTCAAAGCCGCTTCATGTTTTTTAAGGCAGGAGGGTATTCTGGTTTATGTGCTTTAAAATCTAATCCCACGGACATCTAAGACTGTTCACTTACAAACCATGCCTGACATTGTCTATCATAACTAAACATGTTATCTTTTAAGCACAGTAGAAACTAGGCCTAAAATTAATGGCTGGGTAAGTGTTCCCTACTTATTCAAACAGCTAAAGGATAAACAAGCTGTTAATCTGATGGCTTGTACAGTACAGAAGCTTTGTAAAGCTTTGTGTTACCTAATGAGTTTATTTTATTACAAATATTTTTATAGAGGATTTTTCTTTGATTGTTTCACTGAATTGATATCTGAAAGAAGGGTTCTGCTTAAGTGACGTTTCTTTTCATAGTTTCTGAAATAATCAAAAAGGGTTGAGGGGAATTTTTTGAAAAACAAATGATTTTACATGCTTCCATTGTGTTTCAGTAATAACCTTGCTTCCCTAATAGTTGAAATAACTGTAAATATGCAAGTCCCTCGCAGCGTTGGCAGGGAGAATTTCAGTTGATTTTGCTACCTTGAAATTAACCTTTTACTATCGCATGCATATGTTTGTCATTTATCCCCTTTTTCTCAGGTGCAAAGAGGGCTACCAAGGAGTCCGCTGTGACCAATTTTTGCCGAAAACCGACTCAATCTTGTCAGATCCAAGTACGTCAAATGTTTTTCTTATATTTTTAATCCATGCTGGAGGCTACTCTTGCCACGCGAGATGACCCTTTGCCTATTGTCAGCAAGCCTATTATGGACCACTGCTGCTGTGTGTAGAGAACGGTGTTGCTTTTGTTGGTAGGATAAAAACACATCTTTCGGTCTCCGTTCTTATAAAACATGTTCTGCTGCAGCAGTGTAGGCCATCAGAGGACTTGATTCCTTATGATTTGGAATAATACTGTCCCTGCTTAAAGCCAAAATACTCACTTTTCTCTACTTTTGACTCGAGAACAAATAAAATTACATAATCTAAAAGGAAACCAAGTATAGGCTGCAAAGTGGTTCCTTCAAAAGAAAATAAATTCAGATTGCTGGGAACTGCGGAGATGATAATCTCCTTGGAAGTATGTGATGTCAGTTTACACAAGACCTGATTTTTTTTTCACTTTTACAGTGAAGTCGCTCTGTATTTGCAGACTAAAGGTATGCTTTCAGGTAGTAACGTGGAGAGAAAGTAACTTTCTATGACACTGCTCAGTATATGCCAGAATACCGTCTATGTATATGTCCTCCTACTCCACTGTTGCACTGTTTAAATTCTGTTTACAAACAAAACTATGTCAACAATATTAGCCAAGATTAATTTCTTGGAGGTGAATCCATCCATCCACTAATTAATGCTGTTCATCTTAAATTTTTTAATGAAGTGACATACAACAAAGGGTCATATCCAATCTCTTGTTCTTGTTCTTCTACCTGGAAACTGTAATGTATTAAGTCTTCTGGTTTTGGGTGCTCTTTAAAATTTAATTTGGGTTGTTTTGTGTTTTTTTGAAGAATAATGCTTGTTCTTGTAGTCTTCTTTTGTGCTTTCTGTTTATTTTCTTGTGCTTTTCCATGTGAAAGCCTGTTGCCAAAGACACCTGTTGTTTTGTAGTTCTCTGTGTTGCATAGCTCCCATTATAGTTTGCTTTGTGTTTGGTTTAGCTTTTCCTTTTGCTCGACCTTTAACGGTAAAGTGCAGAGCCTATAACGAATAGGCAGATTTTACCTCTGCCAAGTTGTACGTGCATGTGTAAACACAGAAGTTGTGTATACACCAAGGAAACAGGTACTTTGCATCCTAAAAGTGGGGGAAAGGAAAATCAATTAACAACAGGACAGGGTGGTGCCTATCTGACTTGGTTTTAACAGGGAACTCTAGCTTTACTCTCTCAAGGGTAGAGGTGAAATTCATATAGATACAATGCAAAGCTCTCAGAGTTTTCTCTACAGAAAAGACTCCCAGATTAAGCTGCATCTAACAAAGCCAAAAGCCCTACAGTGTTTATATACTGCAGAAGGTATTGTTGTTTCTTTGCAGCATTGTGTTGGTTGCATAGACTTGTTCTTCTTTACTTGGGAGATGCTTACTTACCCTGGTTGGTTTCTGACTGCATTGTTTCCATAAAATTGTTCAGCCACCTGCTCAGCAAGCTAAGGTTCTGCCGAAATGTCCTTTTTACACCTTCTGACTACAAAGGCAATTTTATTTTATTTTATTGAGGCTTGTTTTTAACATTATCTTATTTAGAGTTTGTAAGAGCAGGGGACCTTGGCTTGATGTTGACGTAGATCCACTGGCCATACCTATGGCCCACGAAGGGCCCCTCTTCCAATACAAATAAAGGTCAATGTGAGTTAGGTACTTCCCCAGTCAGTTTTGAAATTTAACTTATATTTAATCCTCACCTGCATTCAAAAGAGGAAAAGCTTCTCTTCAGGTACATTTCTGTGTGTTGGCATAGTGTAATATATCTCTGCGTGTGTACGTGCATATGCACTTGTTCTAAGCATGCCCTAGCCTGAAAGGGAGATAGTAGAAACTTTCTGCTGCAGTTGGACAGTGACAACATGAACATTTTGCTCAGGAGGTAGATCAGTAATGTATTTATCTTCCCTCTGGAGAGGGATAATTAGCACTCAGTGGCAGAAATATTTGCTGTTTGCAAATCTGAGGAGTATAAAAAGTATTTGACGCAGTAGTCAAGTGCAATATGATCATCTCCAAAGGCTCTGGTGTTGCTTTGCAAAAACTTAGTTTTGTGGTTGAATGTGTGTTTGGATTAGGAAGAGAACCGCTGAAGGACACGAAAGGGGGAATTTGGAGGTCGCTTCAGAAAAAAGCAATTTTTGAAATGCAAGGCTTAATTTCTAGAAGTTGAACATTGAGATGAGCGCTCTTGTGTCTGGACTGCACATAGCCAACACTGACAGGTGTCAGTCAAGCTTCATAAACAAGTCCAGCTCATTTGAGTTTTGTGGGATTGCTTAGGGTTCTCGGCAGTAAATGTGTTCAGAAGTGCTAATGATGCATCTGATAACAATGTTCAGCTTATTTGAAGTATACGTGCATGAAATACTGAAGCAATATATTTTTAATCTTACCTTGCCTGTGATAGTGCAGGTTACATTTTCAGAACTTTCACTTGTCATTAAATGGGAAGTGAATCTGGACCACAGTCACTCAGAAAATAGCAACAATATTGTCTTAAAATTGTCAGCTATTTACACGTGCAAGAGCCTTTTTTTAAAAATAGCCCTCTAAAACAAACCGTGCTTGTTCAGCATGGCTACTGTCTGAGGTTGCGTAGTGGCAAATAATGTGGTATGGCTCTGCAATATTTTTAACAATACCAGGCCAAACCCAGCTTCTTACCTCGTTTTAGGTGTATGTTAGGCAGGTCTTGACTTTACATCACAGATATGAATACAAATTATGTAATACTTAATATTGATTAATGCATGCTAAATCATGTCCATTTAGCTTAATTAAACTAAACTGTTAAGATATTTAAGATTCTGTTTTCAGGAAACCTCTTGAAACCACTTGATGGTGTTTCAGAGTTCCTGCAATGGCCTCCATGGCTCTTTGCAGTCAGATCTGCCACCTGCTACCTTCCTTCAGGTCAAAGTTAGGATGAAATTCATAAGGAAACAGTTGTAAGACACACATAGAGCAACGTCAAAACACCCCAAACACAGGACCTTCTACTGGACCTTGAAGCATTACAGTTAACAGCTTCCACTTCCCTTCATTTCTCCACTCTTAACCGGGTTTTCTGGCTATAAGTGAAAGATGTTTAGAAAAAAAAAACAACAACAACAAAAAAACCCAACCCAACCTAACCTCAAGTAGTTTGAGAAGTTGTTTGTTAATCTTGGAATATGGGAGAAACCTGCCTGAATCATGGGAGCTGCAGGGAACCTAACAAAATGAATAACGTCACCAGTAAGGGAGAAGGCTGCATGCTGCATGACAGTGCAACCCGTGCTCACGGTCACTATCAAGAGGAGGGCATCTGTCAGCTCTGCTAATACTGGGTAGGACAACTCCCTGAGCTCTCTCTCAGTCATCACCTCCTTCATCTATGGAGGAAGTACTAACGGGACAAAAAGAAAAGAAACAGCAGTCGCATGCTGAAAGGAAAGGATAGGAGTATATTTGAAACATTGCTTCAGCTTTCTCCATCTGGGCTAACTTCTCTATAAATACAGTTCATGGCAATGGTAGGGCACTTTCTATTTTCAACATTATAAATACAACTTTAATATAACTTTATGTTCAAGTCATTTTTCAGGCATGTGTAGTCCTGTGTGTATCTGTAAGATTAGGAACTTATATACAACATAAATTGTACAAATGCACTCATGTACTATCCTTTATAGTGTTCTGGAGTAGACCTGCCTGGCCGAACGAGTCTTGACAGGTAAGTTGTATGTAGGCTGTGGGTATTTCTTTTGATCAGTTTTTATACTGAGGCAAAGTACAACCTTTAAAGCTTTGACTGTTCTGTGCAGATATTCCAAAGCGGTGAACAAGGCATTGAGAATGGGTTTGTCACGTTAGCCTTTTTTAATCAAATTATGTTGAACTCCACCTTCAACTGTTTTGTTCTTAACTTAGCACTGAAAAGTACTTTCCTATGCAGAAAGTGTATTTCAGTTTTAAAATGTGCAGTATTAATTTTATATTCGACATACTAACATTTGAGTTGTCCCATTTGACCTCAGAAGCTTAAGTGAAGAGGGATCCCCTGTCAAATATCGGGAATGTTATCTGATCCTTTTTCAAAATAAATGCATTATTTTCTAAAAGGAGAAAAATAGGATGGAAAGCTTAAAGGCCATTAAGCCATGCTCCTGCTGTTGCAGTCAACCCATCATGTAATTCCTTCCATAAGCTGATCACACTTCATTTGTAAACCACTTGCAATCAGCGTGAACTAGCCACTAGAAACAGGTTTTGTTTATTGTCCCTGCTCTGAGGGTTTCAAGACTTCTCAGCTTCCACCCAAAATTTGCGCACAGCCCAAATTTGTGTTAAAGCGTGCACCTTGTTTCTACATTGGTATTTTTTTCTGTTTCCACCACGTTACGCTTTGGGTCTGTTAGACTGGCTTTTTCACATGTCAGAAGTCTTGTTCCTATAGCGTTAGCTATAGCCTGTGGTCATATACTACCTTAACCTGTGACAGCACAGCACGCATCATGTTTCTTTTTGAATCTCATCAAAGAGAAACCTGCAAGTGTCATGTCTGGAATCTGCAGTTACTCGTTCTTAGATTACCTGTTTATGTAGCAAAGGATCAAAACCCCTCTCCTGGAAGACTGGGACTGTAAATAAGTGAAACAACTCCAGAGAGTTTAAAAATGAAAAAACTGTTTTTCCAGCAATTTATTCAAAGCCTCAAGACCCACACACATCTCCTCAAAAAGCCCCCAAAACACCCAAACAAAAATCTTGGGCTTTTTGTGCCCCTCCACCTTTTTTTCCTTTCCTTTTTTTTTTTTTTTTTTTTTATTTTTTTGTCTTCCTTGTCCAGTTTTGTATTTGTAAGATCACAGGATAATTTAGATTGACAGAGAAGTCTGGAGAACTCAGGAGGTTCAGTCTCCTGCTTTATGCAGAGCTTTGAAGTTTCTGCTAACTGCACTGGACACCACGAAGGTAGTCT